AGATAGATAGATAGATAGATAGATAGATAGAGATAGATAGATAGATATATGATAGAGATAGATAGATAGATAGATAGATAGATAGATAGATAGATAGATATAGATAGATAGGATAGAGAAAGAGATAGATAGATAGATAGATAGATAGATAGATACCATAGATAGATAGATATATGATAGAGATAGATAGATAGATAGATAGATAGATAGATAGATAGATAGATAGATAGATAGGATAGATAGATGGGATAGAGAAAGAGATAGATAGATAGATGATAGAGATAGATACCATAGATAGATAAATAGATATGATTGATAGATAGAGATAAAGAGATAGATGATACAGCTAGAGAGAGAGAGAGAGAGAGAGAGAGAGAGAGAGAGAGATGATAAATAGAGATAGATACCATAGATAGGTAGGTAGGTAGGTAGATATAGAAAGATAGATAGATAATAAATAGAGATAGTTAGATACTTCCCACCAAAGGGGTCCCTATTTTTCTGCTTGCATTTTTACATCCTTTCGAAATGCTAGATTGGCAGAAGCTGGGACCAATCAGAGGAGCTTACTCCGTTACATAGCGCTAGGGATTTGAACCACCGACCTGCTGACCTTTCTGATTGACAAGCTCAGTGTCTTAGCCACTGAGCCACCACGTCCCTTCATCCTCATCAATCCCTTGCGGGGTGGAGACTGGGCAATTAAATGGAGTTTTGCGTACTTACTGGCTGGATACCTTTCCTGTTGCCAGTACGGAGTTTTGTTCAGCAGATGTATTCTCATTGGACCCAGAGACTTAGGATCGAACTCACAGCCTCTTGTTTGGGAGATGAGAGCGCCACCTCTAGGCCATCGTGCCACTCTGTGGTGTCCCACACGCGCCACCCACAAATTCAAAATCCCCCCCCCCGCCATTTTTACAGCTTTCGTCTCTTGCAGGTGGCAAAACCCCACTGCAGTCGTTCCTGGGCATCGCCGAACAACACGTGGGTCCCAACAACGGGGTGAGTAACTGGGAGACCATCGAGCTGGTGGGTTTTTGGGGGGGTGTGTATGTGTGTGTCAAAGGTCACCAGTGTTCTGCTTCCTGTGTCAACTCCTAAAATATTTCTATGGTTGCCAAAAGAAAGGGAGCGGGGAAAAGGGAGTTTGAAAGAGCAGTGCGGCCGCTTGGAAATCGAACGTGCATTCCATAAATGTTCTTTTTTTTCAAAGAGAGTAACCAGGTGCCTGAAGTTTCTGCCAAGCAAACTTTCTTAACTGGTGAGAATGATTGATGCAGTCTTGGCTATTGTTGCGGTTCACCGGCAGCCGGTGCAAACGGCGGCGGAATCGGACAGTGGGGAAGAACGGCGGCCAATCCGGGAGTCTGGAGAGGACTTGGATTAGAGTCCTGTGTCCGATGCAGGGATGGGACCATCTGGGAGTGGGGTGCTGCCTCTGGAGCCTGGCAGCAGCGAGGAAGAGGACCCTAGGGAGCCCGTTCCCAGTGCGCGTATGCACAGAGCTGTTAGAAGGCGAGAGCAGCTGAGACAAAAGAGGCGACTCAGGAGTAAGGCTGGGAGTTGATTGCCTCTCCCCTAAGGTATAAAGGACAGACAAAGGTCAAGAAACCTTTGCAGGAAGAAAAGTCGTTCGCTCGGTTTGGATTAATCCTCGAAGCTCTGTGTACTCTGGTTGGTTTTTTTTTTCCTGGTCCTTCGATTGGTTTCTGTTATAATTAATCGGATACTTCTGGGTTTTTTTTGGCAGCGTTCCATAGCCCTGAAAAGGTGTGTGCTTATCTTGGGGAATTAGTTTATAATTAGTTCTGGATGGGAATGAAAGTAATTCCCAGCGTTGCAATAAAAGGTTTTTGCTTTGAAAACAAGTTTGATATGAATTCCGTTTGACGAAACCTCAGTCAGAACAGCTGTGGAGGTGTCCCATTGGAGAATATGAATTACGATACACGCGGAGGGGTGCGGGGGGGGAAACCAGGGTCAAGGGTGACAGTGAATGATGTGCCTCAAGAGTTGGCTACACCCAGGCAATGCCGGCGTGTTAATTCCCAAATAAATCCTTTTGAAGTTTTGGAAGTTTGTCTCGAGACTCAGGATTGAAACGGGGGTCGCTGCCGGAATCCTGACATTTGCTGGTAGTTTTGAAGTACAGGCAGGCCTTGACTTATGGCCATTCGTTTCACGATGGTTTGAAACTATGACAGGGCTGTAAAAAAGCCATTTGCAGTCTGTCTTCACACTTATGACATATGATTCAAGATTTCAGGCACTTGCCAACTGGCGCGTACTGGGAGTCCTCGGCGTACGACCGCAAGGGAGCTCAAAATATTACGTTGCTAAGAGGTGAGGCGTTTGTTCAGTACGGTTTGCCCCGTTTTACGACTGTCCCTGCCTCGTTTGTGAAGGGAATCACTGCGGCTCTTAAATGAGCAACTCGGACATTAAGTGAATCGGGTTTTCTCCCGGTGACTTGGCTCGTCAGGGGGGTCGCCGAAGGAGATCGCGGGAGTCCAGGACACTGCGACGAACGCAAGTGTGAGTCATTTGTCAAGCATCTCAATGTAAATTGTTTTGACGATGGCAACGGGGGCAACGGTCGTAAGCGTGAAACCAAATCACTTTTTTCGAGTGCCGTTGTAGCTTCGAACGGTCACTGAATGAAGTGTCATAAGTCAAGGTCTATCTCTATTTGCACTGTCCTGGGGTCACATGTGATCCCCATGGGACTTTTCCAGCTGCCTTCCGACAAGCAAAGTCGGGGGGGGGGCAGTCATATTCGCTTAACGACAGCATGATTCACTGAACAACTGCTGTGACTCACTTAACAACCCTGGCCAGAAAAAGAGCAAAACACACCTCCCGACTGCCTTGCTTTGCAGTGGAAAGTTTGACCTCAATTGTGGACGTGAGTCGAGGATTCCCACATATGAATCCTGAAGCAAGTAAGGGGTTGGACTAGATGATCTCTTAGGAGAAGGGGGCTGGATTAGAAGACATCCAAGAACCCTTCTATCCTCTTTTTCTGCTGTATTCTATTCTGTTCTGTTTTGTTCCATTCTGTTCCATATTTCTATTCTATTCTATTCTATTCTATTCTATTC